ATTCCATCTGCGTTTGTTTTACCAAACCTTTAGTTTCTTTTCTATCATTGTGGTCATGCAAGAATATTGGGGTTGGGGGAGCGAGAGCCTTGGTGGGGGCCTAAAGGGGCTGTGGTGTAGGTGGGGTTTGTGTTGATGGGGGTGGGGTCAGAATGCCCATAAGGGACAGCTTTTGGGGTGAGGTTTGTGATATGGGGATTGGTGGCAGAAGGGAAACAGTGAGTGGTTTGTATATAGGTTGCTCAGTTGCTTTGGGGAATGTCGCGGTGGAGTCTTTTGGTGGGAGATTCTGTGGTGTGTTTGCCCTTTCCTCCTGTGTCTGGTCCTGCTCTTTTTAAATTGCTTCTCGTTCCTCCTTGCGTCTCTGAAACCTCTCTTTCAGTGTAGTCCTTTCTTCTTGTGTTCTGTCGCGGTCGAGGTATACTCTCTGGTACCCCTCTTTGTCCCTCAGTCTTTGCTTTCTCTTGCAGAATCCTGGTTCGAACTGATTCTTCCTTGAAAGTTACTCTGACAGGCCGTATCCTTCCACTCGCAAACCACCCAATTCTCTGAAAATTTGGTCACCTGGGTCATATTGCCCTCCCTATTGTTTTCATATCCTTAAATCATTTTTTTCTCCTCCGTTTTATTTCTTCAAAGTTGGCCCCCTTGGCTTCTTGGGAGCCCGTACACAAAAACTGCCCTCGCCCTTTCCTCCTCCCACTGAGTCTCCATCTGCGTCCTCTGAGGCATTTTATTTCCTTCCATTGACATGTTCTTGCCTTCAGTCCCTGTCATATCTGAAACTTCTATTCTCAGTGGACTGTCTTTCCTGACCAGCTGTCCCTTGCTACTGCATTGGGTGTTAGAATCTCTGCATATAGCATACCTTCATTGTCTTCGACCTGTCGTTTGAAACTAGTGTGCTCGTCTCTTTCCCTGGCCCACGTGGGTCTGATAGGGGGCCCTTTAGTTCGGCATGTCTCCGTTGTTGCTTACCATTCCCCCTTTTCTGCGCCTGACTTTGAATTTCCCGATGTCACATCTGAATTGTCATTTGTCTCTCTAATCTGTTTTCAAAAGGCTTTGCAGTTTCTCTTCTAAGCACTGTATCCTAGCTTCTGCTGCTAAGACCTGTACTTCCCAAAATTCCTGCACTCTTCAGCTATCCGCTCCTCCATTTTCTTTCCAAGCTCTACTATCTTCCTTCCCCACTCTTCCCCCCTTTTTTGGAGCTCTAGCTCCCAGTCTTTCCTCCCTGGTTCGTCCACCAGATCTCTGGGTTTCCGTCCTCTAAGGCCACCCATTTTTTTTTTTTTTTTTTTAAATTTTTATTACCACAGACAGAAGGCTAGAGGGGGGAGAGGTGGGGGGGAGAGAAGAGAGGGTAGAAAGAGGGAGAGAGAGGGGAGAGAAAGGGTAGAAAGAGGAGAGAGAGGAGAGAGTATGGGGTGAGGGATAAAGACCAAGGGAGGGAGAGAAATGTGAGGGGGGGGAGAAAGGGGAGAGAGAGGGAGAAAGAGAGGGAGAGGGAGAGGGAGAGAAAGAGAGAGAGAGGGAGAAAGGAGGGAAGAAGGCTATGAGAAGAAACGCGAGGGAGGGAAAAGGTAAGAGGGCTGTGGGGGAGGCAGTCAAATTCCAAGGATCAGCTGTGTTTTACTCACCTATTGTGTTTCGGGGTCGAGACCCAGTCCTGGCCCCGAGTGTGTATGTGTGTGTGCGCATGTGTGTTGGGGTGTGAGCACGTCAGTTTTAAAATGTCCCAGAAAAACAATTTACTTCTGTGTATCCGTAATACTAATGAATACCACAACACTGGAAGTAGTTTCTAATAATTATAATACTAGCGTGTGTTAACAAGTCATTCTTTCACCCAGTTATGTACTACCTTTTACTACATTTTGTAAGGAGGGGGAGGGTGTGGGGGGGGAGAGAGAAAGGGGAGAAAGAGGGAGAGAGAGGAGAGAGAAAGGGTAAAAGAGGGAGAGAGAGGGGAGAGTATGGGGGTGAGGGGTAAGACCAAGGGGGGGAGAGAGAAATGTGAGGGGAGAGAAAGGGTAAGAGAGGGGGAAAGAGAGGGAGAGGGAGAGAAAAGAAGAGAGAGGGAGAAAGGAGGAAAGAGGTATTGAGAGGGAGAAACGCAAGGGAGGGGAAAGGTAAGAGGTCTGTGGGGGAGGCGGTCAAATTCCAAGGATCGCTGTTTTGTACTCACCTAGTTGTGGTTTCAGGGGGCGAACCCAGCTCCTGGCCCCGATGTGTATGTGTGTGCGCGCGTGTGGGGTGTGTGTGAGCCGTCAGTTGTTTATATGTCCCAGAAATACAAAATTCACTTCTGTGTATCCGTAATACTAATGAGATACCATTAACACTGAAAGTAGTTCTAATAATTATAATACTAGCGTGTGTTAACAAGTCATTCTTTCACCTAGTTATGTACTACCTTTTACTACATGTGTACCCAGTACTTGCTTCTCAGATTGTACTGTCTTTGTGTCCTAGACCATTATCTCTCGAAACTGTTGTCAGGGCTGAGTCCCATTAGCCACACTTAATCCTCCTGCTTAATCCTTACTCCTACAAAAGTTTATCTTCCTACTACTGCTAGGTTTGTGTGTTTTGATAATCGCTTGGAGCAGGGTTTAGATACGAGTTACCAGTGACCGCGGGGCCCGGGTCTATCACTCAGACTTCCCGCCAACCACAAAAAAGGTGATTTGTACGTTACTGGTCAGAGGGGACGTCCATCCAGATGCATGATGTACGATGCTCACTGTACGATGCTTGCTGTACGATGACTCGTGCACCTCGCCCTTCCGCCGCTGGCTTCCTCGCTATTCTTATCTCGTTGCCCTTTTGAGTCCTCATTTACCACACTTATCACTTGTATACTGCTACTTTTATAATTTACACTTCACTTTGGGTAAGTACAAATACTTATTTGTGATGACACCCAGCCTGTTATGGCGGCGCTACTCCCTCAGGCCTACTGCTGGGCCCCCACCTCTGCTCATATATATTTATGTATATGTATGTATATATATATATATCCCCTTTCTGGCGAGCTTGTTCACTCTGTGTGCTACATCACATTTTGTCGTTAGCCACCCTCTCTTAATTCTATTTGGTCTTTTCTCTTTAGTCACTCGATTTGTACTTTGTATATGTGTATATGTGTGTGTGTGTGTGTGTGTGTGTGTGGTATATATGTATATAATGGAGGAAATACATTACTTGCATTAGCCTGTCTTGGGATATATAAAAGGGATATAACACCTTCCTGACTCATATCTGGAGTCCTGTCTCGCTGGTGTTGACATGATATCATTGTCTTGACTGATGACTGACAAAGTTCACAACAACATTGGGAAAGTTCATTACAATGACTCACAATAACGGCTGCACACTGCGTCATTTCAGCACCCTAATTTGTTCATAGTACCGTGGAACTATCCTCAGCAGGGAGAACACGGAGACGCAATAAACACTTACGTGTTAAGTTCACCGCCAATTTCCTGACTCGAATAAGGGAACCAGTCTAACTTTCCTAGTCTCCTGAGATTGTCAGAATGAACAATAGTCAGATAACTTAAGATTTCGTTCGGATTTTTAACCCCGGAGGGTTAGCCACCCAGGATAACCCAAGAAAGTTAGTGCGTCATCGAGGACTGTCTAACTTATTTCCATTGGGGTCCTTAATCTTGTCCCCCAGGATGCGACCCACACCAGTCGACTAACACCCAGGTACCTATTTGCTGCTAGGTGAACAGGACAACAGGTGTAAGGAAACGTGTCGAAATGTTTCCACCCGCCGGGAATCGAACCCGGGCCCTCTGTGTGTGAAGCGGGAGCTTTAGTCACCGGGCCACCGGGCCACCGGGCCACCGGGCCACTAGTCACTACTGTCTCTCTGTGCAAAGAGACAGTAGTGACGGTAATGATCTCGTGACACACACGGCTAATGTGATGTTTTTATTGTGACAACGTTTCGCTCTCCAGGAGCTTTGTCTTTACTGCTTGATAAAGCTCCTGGAGAGCGAAACGTTGCCACAATAAAACGTCACATTAGTTGTACTTATTTTATTTTACATAATGTTGAGGTACAGTACCTGGACCCATTATGTACCTCTGTAATGTTGTGGTCCAGTCCCTGGACCCATTATGCACCTCTGTAATGTTGAGGTACAGTACCTGGACCCATTATGTACCACTGTAATGTTGTGGTACAGTCCCTGGACCCATTATGTACCTCTGTAATGATGTGGTCCAGTCCCTGGACCCATTATGCACCTCTGGTAAATGTTGAGGTACAGTCCCTGGGCCATTATGTACCTCTGTAATGTTGTGGTCCAGTCCCTGGACCCATTAGGACCCGAATGTTAGGTCAGCCCTGGCCCATTATTACCCCTTTTAATGTTAGGTACAGTCCCCCGGACCCATTTTGTACCCTTAAATTTGTGGTCCTCCCCTGGACCCATTATTACCCTGAAAATTAGGTACAGTCCCCGGA